GCTTGTGCGACGGCTCTGTTCTTTACTGAATGGTTCAGTATATCCATGTAGGCGTCAATTATTTTCGCTGTTGCGCCAGTGTTAGCTCTAAGTGCTGGTTCTCCCCTGTACCCTACCATTATGTTACCAGCTGTTCCAACGTCTCTATACCAACACTATTTTATGTACCGTTGTAGTTTTTCGTGACCATTAATGAGCCAGCAGCCTTTTTTTCCCATTTTTCGACGCTCGCGCGCTTCAATATAAGGTGCGGCTAATCTATGGATTTTTTACAGCTTACGGGCTACCTCTCTTTTGAGAACTGCATAGCTGGCGCCTCTATTGCGTGCGCTGGGGAGATTCCGTGCGGACGCCGCAAGGCTTCTAAGACGTCGGGCTCGGGTTTCCAGCTCATGAATAACGCTCGCGGAGGCCTCTCGGAAAAGAGTGAGACAGGTAGCGCCCGCTGGTAAAAGTACAAAGTGGAACAGCCGGAACAGCACCTCTGCAACACAATGGCGCACCTGCTGTTCAGACGACACTACTAACCGAGAGTGGTCGCGCGCGACAGAAGAGACGAGACAATCGACAGACAGACACTACCGAGATGAGAGCGACCGTTTGTCTCCCGCCTGACCACTTAGAGTGTTAACATCGCCGCTACCGCTGTAACAGAGACTGAGGCATCACTGACGGTACTGCGCTGGAACGCACCGTTTAAGTTTGAAAGTTGAAAAGTTTGTGTGTCTGAAAACGCTATGTGATACAGTACAGTTTACACAGCACAGTACCAATGTTCCATGTAGCTGCTATTGCACTAAATGGTCAACACTTTGAATACGTTATGCAAATATGCACTTGTTTGGATTGAAATGTTAATAAATGGGAGCTTCCCTCAAACAGACCTCATCATATTCCCGACAATCCCTCTGTGCACGAACCCTTACATATCGGTAACCTTAAACATTAAAACACGCTGCAAGCTTATAGTCCAGTGCGGCTTATATATGTACCATCATTCAATTAGCTTGCTGCGGGCTTAATATTCAGGTGCGCCTTATAGTGCCGAAAATTACGGTAGTTTATAATAAGATAATCAATTGAGACACGTGAGAGAGCTTATCTGTTGAATGTCCTTAATTACAGTATTCCAACAGCAAAACTTCTGTGTTATGTGATGTGACAACCTTGACATGGTTATAGCCTTTTCCCACACCTAACTACTTGCCTGATCAGCCTGCTCTCAGCTTTCTCATTTTGTCTGTGTTGTATTGAAGCAGTGTCCTAAATGTAAGATGCTGCCATTTTGTTTTACTGTGTAGATTGTCTTTGAGAACTGCTCACCCTGTGGAGATTGCATGGCAAAGTGTTTCCTGTGTAGCCTGGAACACACTCTGCAACCACAATGTTGCACTCTGTTCCAGACAGCCACTACCTCCACACTCCACCTGGCTGCTGTACATCTGTCCTCAGCTGCACTGAAACAGAGCAGCGATGGCACCAAGCCAAGAATCCCATGGTAATCGTACAGTAATGTGTTCACAAACCAATCCACGGGTTTAATCCGAGTATCTTCCTTTGTGCCAAGAGCTGATTTAGTATGTTTGCATCACGACGTTTTCAATTAATTTGACAATTATTTGGGTGTAATTAATAGGGTGTGAAACCAGGCAGAGTGAGTGACATGGTGTTCATTTCACTAAGCCACAAGCAGTTTACAGTTGCTGACGGTGTAAGGTATATATAATTGTCCTAAAGTAATTTGTATGTACCTGCTACAGAGTTGTGATTGGGTGTCTGAGTGTAAATTGGTTCTTAAAGTCCCTAATTATCATATAACATGATTCAAAGGAGTACAAGCGTTACAAGGCCGTGCGGGGGGAGCTGCCAGACCAGAATGTCGCTCAAGTCAGCGAGGCATACAAGGACTTCTCAGCAGACCATCGCTACACGAAAAAAATTAATAATAGCTCACTACTCAACTCAACGTCTAACACTCTTTCAGAGATATGTTTGGAAATGCCACACATTAATATATATTTTTTGCATCTACTTTCTGGATATTGTACATCTGTTCATCTGTTATCATAAACTAGATTACTGAAATATGCAGACTAATTTAAATGGTTAAATCATGTATTTTTCCCCCCTATATAAACATCAACCTATGTTTTGTAAAGAGTTTATTAAATATAATCTGTAAAATGTTATCATATTGTGGATTTTAAATTATGTATTGTTCCTTTGTTATTTATGTGTGCGTTTGTTTTGAGGATATAATTCATTAGTACCTAAACACTCGCTCTCGCCGTAATAACACTGCTTTGTTGTAATAAAAAATACACCAATCTGTCAAATAAGAGCAAGAAATCCTTTAAGTCGTTGTTGCCACAGGCTTGCCGAAATGAATGGAAACTTTTCTCCCGATTAATAACATTGTGTAATTTGCTGCTGTTAAATACCTTCAAATATGTGCAATATGTGTTTATGTGCAATATATACCTTTAGTACATATGCCATCTTTAATAACTGTAATATATACCGGGCTACTAAATCCTAAGAACTGCTACAGGATTTGATTTGTAGATTTGATTTGTTTTTGATCTGTATTTTTGAAAATTATGTAACTTTTTATCAGCATATTGTTTATTATATTATAACTTAGTACTTTTTTAGCATATTGTTTATTATATTATAACTTAGTACTTTTTATCGCATGTAAGATATTCAACACTAAGCTGTCTGTGGCTCTTTCCAGCTTCAACGCTGCAAATTTCCCCTCTGTGGGACTAATAAAGGTATTCTGATTCTGACAACGGGACGAATTTGTACAAAGGGGCACACAGCAATGTAGTGCCGACTTTCTTTCACGCTGGAAGGCCAATCGCTTTTCTTTACCCCGAAATCCGCTGATTCTTGCTCTCGGTGTGTCATAACAAACTGTCAAACTGTCAAGCTGTCAAAACTCTGTACTCAAACCGGAAGTACTCAGCCGCACACCCAGCCGCCGGAAGTTGATAGACGCCATCTTGTGCACAGAGCCTATAGTCCCTAATATATTTGTAGAAAGGCAGGAAATGGAATTAAATAGAGAAAATGTTTCATTGCAGAGGACCCCCTGTTTTGTGTCCCCCCCACTTCTCAAACCAAAGTTACACCCTTGCGGAAGGCCTACAGTTTTACGTTATTAGACACATTATTAGACGCATAGTCTTAGAGAAAATTACATTATTTGTCACTTTATTTTTAGTCATTATGGCTCACCAATTAGCGCATTATTTGTGTCACCTTATTTCTGTCGATTGCCTAATCAAAATAATGATATTTGGATTTTGGATATATTTGTTTTTTCTGGAAAGTCAACTGGAGTTTATTGTTTCATAAATCATATTTTTTCGAGAGGAACAAAACAACATCTGTGCATGCTTTGAGGAAATGTGGCTTCAGAACGTTTAAAGCCCAGGATAAGGCACTTCAACAAGCATGAAAGCAGGATTCCTGTTCTTTCTTGGTATCAGCTCCTTTCTTGTGTTATCAATTCTTAGATGTAATGTAATGTGTTTTATTGTGTGCTGTATCAATCCTACTGCTGTCTCTTTTATGGACTCCTCATGTCTGTGGAGCTGCAGCATCAGTGCCCTTTGTTAGTTTTTCTTAGCAGAAACACATATAGGACCCACAGGGTGCAGTGGACAAAGACAAGCATATTTTTAGAAATGAAGCATCACTTGTTGAAATTCAAGGAGACAGAAGTGGGTTGGCAGGCCTGTGGTTACCTGAGGCGCAGCTGAGACGCAGGCTGGCCCAGTTTCTGTGCGATGCAATCCTTTATTTCATGGTTAGTTGTTTCCAGAGGGACAGATAGAGCCACTGTGTACGTGAAGTGGACCTTCACCAGCACAGAGCCCGCCTCCGCTCCCTGAGCCTCATCAGCATGCTGGGAAGAAGGAGCAGGAATACATTAAAAAAAAATCAGTGTGAATACTGTTTATATGGGTATTATGCAATAACATTATTAATACTAATCGAAATTGTAGTTTTTGAAGTTACTTTTCATATTTTGAAGACACAGACCCAGCCCAAATATTTTTTGATTCCTTATCGAATTTCCCTGCATGAAAATAAACTATGAATAAGAAACTTATTTGTCACTGACCGCACACATTGATTTCGGGGACTTTCATTTCAGAGCCTCAAGTTTGGCCTTGTTGCATTTGCCATCTATGTTTTTTGGAACCAAAGTGACCATCAGCCCCCCATATGGAAGAAAATAATAATAAACAGTGTACCATATTGGTTCAAGAGTAGAGGGGAATTTGAGTGCAAGGTTTCTGTATTAGAAAGTATTTAAGAATAGGAAAAGTAAGAAATGTAATACTATTTTAATATCATATAAGCTAAATAAAGGCTAAAGCTAAAAACGATCAAATATGAAATGATGTACTCAGTGACTGAGTCATTGAAGTCATTAAATTCACCAATCAAAAATGTTTGCTTTCATCTGGGGTCGGGATTAAAACTGAGTGCAAAGAGCAATTTCAACCGTTTTTATTTTAAAGTGTTTAATCATTAATTAATTAATGAACATTTTCACATCACATTATTTTGGCATTTGGTAGAAATGTGCTACAGAACGTCCATTGGTTATTTCATCAAAACATTTCATGTTGTCAGATCACTGGCATTCAGAAAGAGAAAACGATATTCATATCCAAACACTGAATACCTGTCAGTGGGTGTTTCTCAATGTCGAGTAAAGCTGCTCCAGAGCCACTATTTCAAGCATACTACATCATCGAGTGCCGCCGAAGGACTGTTCCAATGTCCAGCATACTTGGAAAATCTACCGAGCCCGGCGTACTTCATTTTGGAGAAATTTCGAGGCTGCACATTTGTAGACTCCGGGTCTTAAAATCCCCACAATGCTTTGCGCACGGACCAATTTCCCCAAAGGTATCTGTCGTTGACTTGTGAAGAATACAACCAGGTGTTAAAGTGTCTTTATAACATTATGTAATTTTTTGTAAAAAAAGACTCGTGTAACTACGAAGAATTGGTGTTCTATTTGTCCTAATAAAAAGTGTTACAGTTACTAATTGCCAACCATAGTTAAATCCACGGCGTAATAATACCGGAAATATTATAAATGGGGTTGGTCCTCAACATTCTACAACCTTCTATAAGTACCAATGTTTTTATTCAGACTGTCCGGTGTTTTGTAGTTCTTCATTATTCTGTACAACCTCTTTATTTGGTTCCAAATAGGCCTAAACGTCCTGTCGACAATAAGTCAACATTTTGACACCTACAACAAAACTCAAACGTTTTAAGTCTTCCACAAGGACTAACACTTGTCGCTATAAAAGATTTCTAACAACAATCTTTTGTGTGTGTATCATAAACCATTAAGTGTACCCTCATACCACATATTTTTTCTCTTGGTAGAACACTACACTATGTTGTCATGTCGATTACGATTAAGTTAGACATTACATAAGTCTGACATTAACCATGGACATGACACAAAAGACGTCACGTCAAAAAGGAGTCTGTGAGGTGGAGTGTAGGATGAGGTGACGGTGGGCACGTGGCCGGAGTTCGGAGTCTCGCGGGGGTCATGTGCCTGTTGGGTTGGTCTTGTCTGGCCATTATAAGGGGGACACTTTGTGATTTAAGGTCTCGCCACTCTGCCTAGTGTAGTTCAATACAAGAAACGTGTAAGTCCGAATACTCTCTGTGTGTGTGTGGTGTGTGTGTGTGTTTGTGTGTGTGTGTGTGTGTGTGTGTGTGTGTGTGTGTGGTGTGTGTGTGTCGTGCTGTGAGCTGTTGTTAGGATTGGAAATATGTCTTAGATTGTATATCTTCCTAATACCCCGAACACTTCTATGACGGATCAATTCCAATTTTCATCGTCCCCCTTACAGGACTAATTCAGTCACTAATTATATTATATTATTAAGTAACAGTAATATGTCCATGTTACTCTATCATCTCGAATGAGGAAAAAAACTTCCACGGGGAGACTCTGAGCCCCACAAAGAGTTGAGCGCTCATGCGAACGAACCTAGTGTCAGAAGAGCTCGGCAGAACGAAGTCTTTCGCTCCGTTCCTTAGCAAGGACCGTAAGCCTTTTTGTTTCTCTCAACCTGTCCTGCTCCTTCCACGTCCACACGTAGTGTACTCTTCGGGGTTCGGAATGTAAAAAGGNGTTGACTTGAGCCGTCCCTTTATAGATACTGTCTTCTTACGTTAGTGAGCCGGATCATTTGGCTCGGCTCTCTTAAAGCGCCGGCTATTTCGGCTCCTAAGCGGTTCTTCATGTTACCACAATTTACCACGGAGCCTCAGTTTTGCCGCTGCGAGGCTCTGGTGCTCGCAGTTCACGCGTGTGCTCCACTGAACCCCCCTCGGGGAAACAATATTCAATACTCCGAAAAGAATCCCACCAGACTCCTTTGCCCCTCCAACAGCGGGATGTCCTTGTCCTTTTTCCTTTTCGTCATTTCAAGCGATAAAAACTCTCGATCTTCTCTCGAATTATTAATGTTTGTGGACGCCCTCGGCTCGAGTTCAGGGCGTCCCGAGCTGAATAAGGGCGTCAAATGACGGCAAGACGTCCCCCTGGCGGAAACGCTGGTGGACTGTATCGAAAGCAGCAGTTAAATCAATAAGTAGAAGCACAACGCAGTCCCCAGAGAGTCAGTAGATAAAAGGATGTCATTAAAAACTCTTAAAAGCACTGTTTCAGTGCTGTGCATAGATTTAAAACAGTATTTGAAAACCGCCAGTATATTGTTCTCTTCCAGAAAAAACATAATTTGACTGTAGACAATCTCCTCCAGGATTTTTGACATAAAAGGCATTTTGGAAATGGGCCTAAAATTAGCCAGAACTGTGGGATCCAGACTGGGTTTTTTAATACGAGGTTGCACTACTGCATGCTTCAGGTTTTCAGGGAAAGCCACTCCTGTATCAATGCTTGTGTGAGTGCATGTTATTTCTGTGGAAAATGAAGATGTTGGCACAAGTGCTGACGGGTAACACTGGTAGGGCCGTTGTTTATTTTCTGCTGCCTTTAGCTGTGAATTTCTCTTGGCACTTCTTTTTATATTTTACACAATCTACCATTTCAGTGAATATACTGAATGGTCCTCTTTTTAAAAGGAAGCTGGCAAGTTAAACAGGAAACCCATTGATCGTAAAGGTTGTGCATACAGGAAATGGGCCACTGCTGTGAAGAAGAACCCGCTTTCCGGTGGTCAGTCTGTGTCTATGTGTGCGTGGGAACAAAATGCAATCCTTTCTTTAAAGTGGGAGCCTTTCTGTCACTTGTGGTTTCAATTAGGAGTGTGTCGCCGTGAATGCCGCACAATGAATGTAGATTTTCATAGAAAGAAAAAAGACGGTTAAGAAAGGCCTTCAGGACTCTTTGAAAGCTTTCTTCCTTTTCATTTTTTATTCCTAGCAAACACTTCTTGAAAGAAGAAGTATTCCTAGCAAACACTTCTTGAAAGAAGAAGTAGCTATGTCGTTCTGCTTCATCTTATTTTCCAGCTTGCATGTTTTTGTTGCTGCACAGAGGAGTCTCCTGCTCCCACTCAGTCGTGATCGAAGGCGAACGTTTGCTTTGAAATGTTCTTTAATCTGAGCAAAGCAGAACTTTAAATAATAAAACATTACACTTGGTGATCTTTGTGTCGGGCAGACGGTTGAAACGGCATTTCTTGACAAAAAGCTAATCTTGTTTGCTGACTTTGTATGCAAGTTCAGTTATAGTTTAGATACAAATGTGCCGGTCATTACTTATCTTTCCCTGTCACCACACTGTGTGCCCAAGCTCTGTCACACTGTCAGTAGAGATGATACATGTTTTACCAATAAAGCCACATTTCCACTGGACAAAGAAAACACTAATGCTTCGTAACGTCTGGCCTTTGTCTTCAGTGGGAAAGCTAACAATCAGCATCTTATTCCCAGTCCAAAACACTCCCTTAGTCACGATCATTTACCGTCTCAAGCTCTGATCGTTGATGATACGACACTTGTTTAGTATGGACAATTCTTCTTGCGTGAATATGGACACGTGACTTTAGTTTGAAAAATATAAAGTGATCGCCTCTATGTTTAATTTGTTCTATTGTAGCCCTGTGATCATATCCATATCCAAATTTGCAAGACCTAATTTGCCTTGGCCAACTGACCTTTGTAAGCTGGGGTGTATTTGCCTTCTGGTGTCACTGGTTAGCTGTAACAAGCTGTAAATGAGCTGGTAAAAAAAGGAAGGAAAAGCAGGTATTGACCCAGCATCCATCTTAGACACTGTTTCACATTCCTTTGTTTGTTACCCAGCGAAGAAGGAACCTCAAGAGGCTTTTTAGGAACAACGAAATATATTTGTATTCAAGTAGCCTCACCCTGCAAGTGTGAATGCCAACTTTTTGGTGATCTCTTTTCTACTCGTGCCAAGATGTTAAAATGACAACAGGCGTGTTTGAATCATGGCATGTGAAGATATCCTCATTAGTAATTCTATAAAATGCAAATGAAACTTTCTGCAAAGATAAGACTAAAACTTAGAATATAAAGGAATCAATGCACTTGGAAATGTATAAACACTACAGAATGGACACTAGGAAGGAGTTGCATTGAGAGACTGTAACGGGTTCATGAAGGACGGCATCATTATGTAATGTGATACTTTAATTGCGCACAAGACACTTGTCATTATGGGGTTGAGAACACAGACATCCGGCCTGAGACTGTCTACTGTTCCCTTTTTAATACCCAAAGAAATCAACAATTATAATAAGACCATTGTTCAGTTTCTCGAGCCCTATGCATACGTTATTTGGATTAAACAAATGAGGAGCGTCAATGTAAAATGTGTGGTTAGGATACTTTATTGGCATGTCAGTGTCCCTCTTTCTGTCTGAGCTCTGCTGCCTCTCCAGTTACAGAATATATTATGTCAAAGGTCCCGCTGTCAGGATTGTCAACACTAAGTGCTTCTGAGTGCTAACTCATCAGACCTCTTTGTGGTCAGTGATACTCTGCTAAGGCCTCCAAACACATCGCATGATATCAGCTCAAAGGCCAACTGAGTTCGTCATTGCTAGTGTGCTACAACCGTGACAACACATAGAGAATGTAATGATGACAGTTTTTAAGTATTTTCACAAACTAAATGAGCTTAATGCTAGCTAATCATGAGGATTGAAATGGGGGACTTCAAGTCTAATTCTTTGGCACAATAAATAATTTAAAAGGGATTTACGGTACGTCCACACGGTTCCGTCGCCTGCTTCAACGGAGACTCTTCCCATTCACTTTGAATGGGGTGACGTCAGGCTTTGCCGAACTGCATTGTGGTTCCGTCGCGTCGCTTTGCCTCCGTTGCTCGCTTCAAGCGTCGACGGAAGCGCCAGCCAATCAAATCATATGTCAGTACAAGCGCTAGCCAATCAGACCACGTGCTTGTGTGTCCGGGGCGGGAGATTTATGTGATTGGTTATTGGTTCGTGCCAGACACGCCCACCGGCAAGCTTCAACGTGATGGAACCGTGTTGACGTACCGTGGGTGTTTCTCAATCTCGAGTAAAGCTGCTCCAGAGCCACTATTCCAAGCATACTACGACATCTAGTGCCGTCGAAGTACTGTTCCAATGTCCAGCATACTTGGAATTCTACCGAGCCCGGCGTACTTCATTTGGAGAAATGTCGAGGCTGCACATGTGTAGACTCCGCGGTCTTAAAATCCCCACAATGCTTTGCGCACGGACCAATTTCTCCAAATCTGTGGCGGAAAATGTAAGGCGGGGCCTCTCATGTGATGCACACCTGCACACTTGCTCGCCTGTTCCACTCTTTGTTTTCCGAATGCCAGGAACGATTCTTGCCTCGCTTCTGAAGCAAGACGCTCGGAAGACGTGATACCAAGCAAGCGTACTCGCGATTGAGAAACACCCCGAGTCTCAGAGGGGCACCTTCAAAAAAGGAGTAGCTCTA